CTAAAGTTCAGAACTCTGAAATCTAGCCTGTGAGATCCTGGAATCCTCCAGCAGCATTCTAACATCTCTTGGCTACAGAATTGTATGCTGCTTCCTAGGGCTGGAAGGTGTATTTGTATTAATATAGTGTAATAATACGGCCATGTGTCCACCTAGTTCATCCCTATAGTAGGCAATTAAGGTGATGTCAAAGCCTTGCCTGGGTCCAGCCCTGGTAACCTTCCCTCCTCTCTTTTCTGCAGGCTAACCAGTCCTGTAGGGTATGTATGAATATGAGTGAGAGAGTATGCAGGAAAGAGAGAAGGGTGAGGAGAGAAGGTGAGTGGGTGGGTGGGTGCACTTGTCCACTCAATTGTGCTGCCTCTTGCTGTGCTGAACTTGTGGGTCCAGGGACTGTGTCTGGACCTGAAGGGGTCTTACTCTCCCTTTAATTTTAAGCCTCAATTTGCTTATCCCGGAGCTTTGTCCCCCACCTGTGAGCCTGTCTCGGTGTGTATCCTGGATGACATGCACCCCCTCGGCCAGGACTGAATAGACTAGGGCCTGATCAAGAAGCCATAGCAGATGAGAAGAGCTTCAAAATGCACTTTATCATGCTGGGGTTTTTTTCTGCTGGCTGTCTGCGCCTTTCTTATGAACTATGATTGGCTCCAGATCTATGGCACCTTCTGAAGCTGTCATGGTGACTGAGGGCATCATTTGAAGCATGTCACTGCTATCCCAAGGTAGGTTGTGCTGGGGCTGGGTGGAGTTATGAGGTCTGGAGACTATGCCTCTATTTCATGCATGGACTCTCCATCCGTCAATCATCACCTCATTCTTTGACTTCCTGTTTACTTCTTTCTGCTTCCCCTGAGGATCCACACATCCATCCATCTTTCTATATCTATCTTTTCATCTACTCACCCATTCATCTATTTATCCATCAGTTAGCAAAGGGTTGGTTAGAAGCCCCCAGGATCTGGATCCATGAACCAGACACAACGGAGGTAACACAAAGAAACACAACATATTATCCATGTGTTTAAACCAAAAGTCAAGGAGTGCTATCCACCTTACAGTCACTCCTGCATTCAGAGTAGAGTTCTGCCCTTATCCTTAGGTTTTTGATGCCTTCTGTAGTTCCATTTTACAGCAGAAAAGGCTGAGGCTGAGAAAGTGAGGTTCTGTAGCTGAGTGGCAGTTTGGATTGGCGATCAGATGTGCAAATGTAGGCATCATTCTCTTTGAGTTCTCCACCTCAGGGTCCCAGAGCTGCTTAGTTTTCTGGGTGGGTAAGGTCTAATGTTGATGGGATGCATTGAATAGTGCTCTATGTTTTGGAGTCTTAATGGATTCCTAGCCCTAGGAATGATTTAATGATGGGAAAAGCATTGGTTTGAGAATCTTGTGTTCTAGTTCCAGCTCTGCCTCAAACTTTGTGTATTATCTTTTTCTTTCCGAGCCTCAGCTTTTTCATCTGCAAAATGGGACTCAAGCCCCTATTCTGCACAGCCTCAGGGTATAAAGATCAGAGAGGAGATGGGATATAGGAACATTTTGTGAACTCTAGAGTGTTGTGAGTGAAAGCCTGCCAGGGACTGACAACCCTGAGGAAAGGACATGTCAGCTCTCAAATCAAGTTTCTTCCTCTTTCATTTTTAACTTCAGACACAAAAATATTTTTTTCTTGAAATACATGCTTAAGAAATTCCTGTTGGTCTCACTTCCATGGCACCTCATAAAATAAAACCCACTGGCTCAGAATTCCAGACAGCCACTGGCAACAGAGTAGCACCTGCTTGAGATGGGTGAGACTCCCTGACAGGAGAGGTGAGCCACACCATTTTTGCTCTTTGGATAATGCAGCCATTGCAGCCTGTGGGCTTTGAAGAGTCCTAATGATCCAAATGAGGAAGAAACCCCATAGCACAGCACAGCTGCTTTACCAACATGTGGCCAACTTCTTTAAATGGGACTCCAATTCATTCCGCTCACTGGGTGACTCCTCCCAGCAGGGGCCTCCAGGCACCCCCACCCATATTCTATGTCAGAATTCTGATTTTTGTCTGGGATGGAGTGCCCAGGGAGAGGGGCCAGGCTGCCATCTTTGTCTTTTGGGTGACTCAGTCATTTCAGCCAGCAGGCTTTGGAGAGTCCAAGCTGACCAGGGTAGAGGTGGTGCCTCACCATTGGCATTGCTGTTTTGTTGAGGCATGCGTTGACTTTTTCTTTAAATGGGACCCCAATTCATTCCTCCTTACTGGGAGTGTCCTCCCAACCAGAGATTCCTACCACCCCTGTTTATGTTCTAAGTCCATCAGAGTTCTAATTTCTTTGAGAAGGAATGCCCAGGAGGGCATGGTGGGCTATCACTTTTGCTGTTTGTGCATCTCAGCCAATGAAGCCTGTGGGACTTGGAGTGCCCAAACCAATCAGGGGATGAAGGAATCCCCAACACAGTGTTTCAGAATTTTCTCCTTAGCTAAAACTGGGATCTTGTCACATGACCAGGAAAGATTAGGCTCACCAACACACTGATGGATAAGCAGCAGAATTTATTGGGTGAAAAGGAAAAAGGAAAAACAACTCTCAGCAAACCAAGAGGGAATCTTGAACATCAGGCAACCACACAGGAACTAAAGATGCCAGGCTCCTCCCTTCTGCAAAAGGTGTAAACGTTCCGTGGCTCCACTCCACTCTTCCAGCGTGCAGGTGGGTAACTAGTCCATTGCAGGCATACTCATACAACGCCCTGGGCAGGTTCCCTCAACTGCCTCCTGCATCTATCATCTTCCACCCTAAAGAAGTACATCTAACTTCCGTTAGAATAAAGATAAGGATGAAGACCAATCTTAACTGCTTCCTGCTGACAGGGGGTACTGTTTTCAGAAAACAGCAGTCTGATCTCCCTCAGGGGCTTATCTAAGGGTTCCTGGCAAGAAAAGGTTATTGTTTGAGGCTCCAGTCTGTTTGCATGATGTTTTGGACTTTGATGGCCTGAAGCTGAAGAGACAAACCAGGTTATTAGAAAACATGTATTAAAACAAAGCAGTGGTGGGGGTAAGGACAGCTTAAAAATCCCAAAGCCTTTTACCAGTTTGCTCAGGGAGAGGGAGGCCAAAAGCCCAGCTGGCAAAACAACTTGCATGCTTTTGCCAGCATGTCAGTCTTCTGGCAAACCCTTTTGTGAGCGCAGTCCTAAGCCAACCAGTTTAAGGTTTTGAAAATTAACTTTTCCTAGTTTGGAGGATGCATCTGAAGTGAGTGTCCCATATTACAGAGACACAATTACCTGTCAGTGAAGAGGACAGAGGAGGAGAAAGGAAAAAAGGTATTTTTTTCTCAAGGGAGTCCCAGGGATTCAGAATGCAATCAAAATAGGTTCAGACTGAAGATGAATGGCTACTCATCTAGAAAGAGGGGAGCAGGCATCCCTGGTTCTCTTCTCTTCCTAGAAAATACTCAGAGTATGTGAGGGAGGAAAGGAAGAGCATCTTCATTACCTTTTCCATCCTTGTATCCCTAAGTCCTGGTGACTGCAACAGGGTGCTGCCCATGGGTGTCAATGTGGCTTTTACCCACATTAACAGTGAGGCCTAGGGGGTGGAATATCCACTCTTACCCCCATACACTCTATATGCTCTGCTCTCAGGAGTTTGGAGTTCCCTAAACCTCATTTATGCCATGGGTACAAGAGATTACCTTTATCTATGAAACTGAAGTTTGTCTTAATCAGCAGGAATTAGTCGTGCTCACCTACACTGTGCCTTCTAATCTCCATTATCATCTGCCTCCTAATCCCACAGATCCAGTTTTCTTTCCCAGGGCGTTGACCCGAAAATTGGAATTGAGATTGGGACAAAAATGTGTCTCCGAGTGGTTGCATAGACTGTCATAAGCTAAATGCTAAGGTGAAACTGTGGAACAGAGTCCTCCTTTAACAAGGGAGAGAAAAGGATGTCTTATGACATACCCAGATAACTAGTGGCTATAGTTATGCTTGCTAAGATTTAGGTGGGCACCCTATTTATTCCTACCATCTGACAGGATTTGCATAATAATTGTCCAGAACTAGAATATCAATCCAGGTTTTTACATTACCCATCCCTTTTGTTCCTTCTGAGCTGTAGCCAGAGATTGATGGTTGGTTTATAGGAATAAGCAGGTTTAATCTAAAATGTAGGCAAAAACTTAAAGACAACCAATGAGTCTAGAATTCAATGATGATAAGTATTGAAACTGAATTTCTCTCTCTTGGGAGGCCAAGGTGGGCAGATCATGAGGTCAGGAGATCCAGACCATCCTGGCTAAAACTGTGAAGCCCCGTCTATGCTAAAAATACAAAAAATTGGCTGGGTGTGGTGGTGGGCACGTGTAGTCCCAGCTACTTGGGAGGCTAGGGCAGGAGAATGGCGTGAACCTGGGAGGTGAAGTGTGCAGTGAGCCAAGATCATGCCACTGCTCTCCAGCCTGGGTGAAAGAGTGAGACTCTGTCTCAAAAAAAAAAAAAAAAAAGAATTTTTCTCTCATTTGTATTAAAAAACCATGGGCTGGGTGTGGTGGCTCACAACTGTAATCCCAGCACTTTGGGAGGCTGAGGCAGGTGAATCATGAGGTCAGGAGCTTGAGACCAGCCTGACCAACATAGTGAAACACCATCTCTATTTAAAAAAAAAAAAAAAAAAAAGAAAAACTAGCTGGGCATGGTGATGTGTGCCTGTAATCCCAACTACTTGGGAGGCTGAGTCAGGAGAATCACTTGAAACTGGCAGGTGGAGGTTGTAGTGAGCCGAGATCGTGCCACTGCCATCCAGCCTGGGTAACAGAATGAGACTCCATCTAAAACAAAAGGTAAACAAACAAAAACTATGATAGGACAGTGTTGTTTGCAAAATAGTCTTCAGTCATATACTTGGCCTGATTATTTGCATAAAATACAGCAAGAATAATTATTTCTATATAGGCCTTTTAGATTGGCTTTGATGGAACTCTGTACCACAAAGAATCTCAGACAGGACTTTCCAAAGCTAAGCCCAACCATGGGTTTATATTCTCAAATACCTGTGACTTGGGTAAACTCCTCTCTTCTTCAGGTCCCAAGAGCATGTGGTTCCTAGGCCTGTTGGAAAGTGACATTCTTTACTCACTGCAGGTTAGGAACCTTGTATGGGGACTGTGTAACAAAGTATAAGGCCCATTTTTCCAAGAGGCTTTTATCGTCTCTACAAGTCAAGCTTAACTCCTTAAAGGGAAATGTACCCTTCCAGTCAAAGCCTTGGTGAAAAAACCAGTTTCTCCAGTTGTATCCTGTTGAAAAAGAAAAATGAATTCTTATTGCACTGATGCAAACAACTATATTGTCATAAGTTAAGCATACTCACAACTAGTTTTGAAGTTCTAGAGAAGCCAGGCAGAGAGAAAAAGATAAATGTGCCCAAATTTTCTTCATAGGAGTATACCTTACTCAATTATTAACGGTTATAAATAGTTCAAAATAAGTTTCCTTGACTCTGAAAAACAAAATAAGAATTAGCAATGGTCCAAGCATAAGTAAATAATAATAATAATTTCAGTTTTCTATTAGTTCAGTTCATTTAGCTAACTCTTGTTCTGCTTGATACTTGTGAACTTTATTTCAATGTCATGATCTCCAAAGTTATTTGGAAACCTGCATTTGAGAGCACCTGTAACAGTTCTGTAGCTTCTTATAAACCATCTCTTGAAAAGGATCTAAACAAGACAACGATCGTCTTTGAATAACAAAATGTCCAGGGTAGTTATAGTCAGAAACACAATTGACAAAGAAGTTTGATAATCTCTCTGGTTTACAATAACTTAACATAAAAACCTTAATTTTGATAGCATATACTCAAGACATTAGAATATTAGAAATCCTATACAATTTTGGAACATAGATTAGTATCATTTACCAAAATATAACCTAAAGAAAACTGAACACCATTTTGGCAATCCTACGTAACTAAATATGTCAAATAAATCTGGTTTATCTCTTTTGGATACTCCAGTGGTGCTCTGTAGCATTCAAAAGTCAGGCATGAGGAAAGACAATTTTGAAACTGAAGCTTGATTTTGGGAAGAAATGTTAGAGGTTTAAAACACTTGATGTTATGAAATAATTCCAGATTACCATGTTATTTATTTTGTCACAATTGTTTTAAAAAATTTACAAAAGTAAAGCCCTTTTATAACACTTCACAAATTTTTCTAAAGAGCAGATTAGTGCCTTAAGAGTACCTTGTTGTGCTATTATTTAAATGCTTAATTTACCAAAAAAACATATAATACCCTTTGTAATTTAATGTTCATAGACAAAATTTCTTTGGCAAGATGAATTTTATGGAAACTTTTTATAACTCGTTTAAACTTTTAGCTTTGTCTTATCTAATTCAGAACAATCCTTTAACCCTAAACAAAAATGTGTATTTTGATGACTTCTGCTTTTTACCAATAATTGCTAAGTCTGTTTTTAGTTCTCAATGATTAAAGTCTTGTGAACTTCAATGTACCACAGCTTTTACCTTCCCTTCAAAAAATATCTGACCCAAGAACTCGTTTTTCTCTAGGTCAATTACAGCTTTATAAAAATAGACATTACATAGATATAGCACATATGTAACTACACAGATAGGCAAAAAAGAATCCAGTAGCTATAAGATGTTTTGTTTCCCAATCTCCTAATTAGATTATTGGCCTCTCATGCATGTATTAAGAGTGGAAAAACAAAATGGAGAAAATGGAGAAAACTGAGAATTCAGCAAAACAAGGTCCAATAAAAAAAAAATGCCTTTAAATATACCTATAACTTGGGCCAGGCACGGTGGCTCATGCCTGTAATCCCAGCACTTTGGGAGGCTGAGGCAGGTGGAACACAAGGTCAAGAGATTGAGATCATCCTGGCCAACATGGTGAAACCCTATCTCTACTAAAAATACAAAAATTAGCTGGGTGTGGTGGTGTGCGTCTGTAGTACCAGCTACTCGGGAGGCTGAGGCTGGAGAATCACTTGGACCCAGGAAGCGGAAGTTGCAGTGAGCCGAGATCACACCCCTGCACTCCAGCTTGGCTACAGAGTGAGATCAGTCTCAAAAAAAAATAAAATAAACAAACAAAATGTGTGTGTGTGTGTGTGTATATGTGTGCATATATATATACATATATGTGTGTGTATATATATATATATGAAATTTGGATATGCACTTTTAATTAAGCTGAATGTCCTTTAAGAAAATTCTTTTAAATTCCCCATTACCTGCTTTAGCTGTGCCAAGCAGCCAATATTTCTGGCTTTCAGACTTTCCTAAAAGTAACTGTACAGGTGAAACCAACAAGCACCAATTAAGGTTATGATTTAACTGTGAGTTTCAAAGGGGTTAGCAGTTCTCACAAAATCTATTTTATTATTATTTTTCTGAGATAGAGTCTTGCTCTGTTGCCCAGGCTAGAGTGCAGCAATCTTGGCTCACTGTAACCTCTGCCTCCTGAGTTCAAGCAATTCTCCTGTCTCAGCCTCTGAGTAACTGGGATTACAGGTGCCCACCACCACGCCTAGCTAATTTTTGTATTTTTAGTAGAGATGGGGTTTCACCATCTTGGCCAGGCTGGTTTCGAACTCCTGACCTCGTGATCCAGCTACCTCTGCCTCCCAAAGTGCTGGAATTACAGACGTGAACCATCGTGCCTGGCCACAAAATCTAAAACCTTTAAAGGCAACCCAGAAAAAGGAAGGTTTAAGATAAAACTCAAGAGTTGTTCATGAAGAGAAGATAATCACCAAATGGCAAAAGTCACACAGATACCAACTCACAAGTACTCATTCCTTTACCCAGGACTGAACCCAGACTGCAGAGGCTAAAGCAAAATATTGCCATGTGGTTACAGGTCATGCTCCCAAGGACATAAAATAAAATGGAGGCCTGCCTTAAAGATTCCTACTGACCAAACAGGAAGACATGCAAAGGGCACCAGATTGTATGCAACTTAAGACCAACTTCACAATTTTTTTTTTAATAATTAAAACTTTACAGAGAATATACACAGTGATACTTGGTGTACTGGCCTAGTAACATGTTCTTTAAAAGGAAACCCTCTCACTTAAAAGTTAACTGCTAATGGCGTGGAGAAAATGAATAAAAAGGTTAAGAGGGTAGGACAGGGGAAGCTTCTTATGCAAATGGATTATTTTCTCCAGGGCTCGAACAGAGCTGGGTGTGGTCAGAGGAGGGGGAGAAACTGCGGATAAGTGGCAAAGAACTCACTGCCCAAGCCATGCACTCTGGCTCCAACCCAGAGGGGTGGGGAGTGACCATTCACCTAGTCCATCTCATGTGCACCTGCGACTGTTGGGGTGGGTTGGTGTGCTGTTTCCTCTATTCTCAGAAGTACAAGGATGAAAAGGCTTAGAAGCAAAAGGGGAAAAGATTCTGGGTTTGCATCTTGCCCTTCCTCAAGGCCCATGTCTAGGCACCACCATATTTTAGAATTTTCTCCTTAGCTCTCAGCTAAAACTGAGTTCTTATCCTTTAGAAGGAATTGGAAACCACGAAAGTCACCCTAAGGGTGAGAGCAGGAAGCCCCAGTAGGTAAAGGAAAGAAAGCTCAAACAAACAGTCAAACAAACAAACAAAAAAACCAACCTCTCAGCAAAGAGCAAAGTGAGAGGATGCACAAGCGTGAACTTTCCATTGGCTCCATCCCATTCTCCCAGTGCACTGGTGGGTCTCCAGTTTATTGTGGGCTTGTGCAGACAAGACCTGGGCAGGTTCCCTCATCTGCCTCCTGCATCTATCAACAGCACAGATGCTCTACCAAAACACAGCCAGACTTTTTCTTCCAAACCATGGCCTCCAGCCACCTCCTACAGATGCATTCAGGCAGGGGAACAGGTCAGTATCCTCTAGGATGGAATCCCAGAGGAAGGGGCAGGCTGCTATCTTTGCTGGTTTCCTTCCCTGATGATGATACTTCCAGGTACTGGAAAATCCAGGCAGCTAGGGCCTGGAGTGGAGCCCAAGCAAACCACAGTCACCCTACAAAATAATTGGCCAGATTGTAAAAAAACAAAAACAAAAAAACAAAACAAAACAAAACAAACACAACAACCCCATCCAAGGTCAACCCAAAAGATTGAAGGTAGATGGGTCTGGATTGAATTCCCCAAAGTTGGGCTTTTTGTCCACACAGCCAGCCAGAATTCTGTGTCTCATGAGGAGCTTGTGATTTTCACTGAACCTGGCCAAGAAATTTTCTTATGTATGTACCTTGGCTCCTTTCCTAGAAATTTCTCTTCTTGGCCAGGATCCCAGTTCAGAATGCTAATAAATGATTTCTGTCCCAACTTCATATAACAATTGATCAATCTGCCCAGGCTACTTTAAACAAGCAACCATGACTAGAAAACATTTTTATTTTTATTATTTGGACCTGGATTATAGTAACAAAGTAAAATATTGTTAAAAGGAATCTGATGATATGGTCTGGCTCTGTCCCCACCCAAATCTCATTTTCAATTTTAATTCAAATTGTAATCCCCACATTTTCAGGAAAGTATCATGGTGATTAGATCATGTGGGTAATTCCCTTATGCTGTTCTCATGATAGTGAGTTCCCACGAGATCTGATGGTTTTGTAAGAAGCTTTTCTTTCCTTTGCACAACACTTCTCTCCTGCCACCATGTAAAGTAGGATGTGTGTGGTTCCCTTTCCACCATGACTGTAAGATTCCTGAGGTCTTAGCAGCTATGCAAAACGCTAAGTCAATGCAACCTCTTTTCTTCCAAATTAGTCTCAAGTATTTCTTCACAGCAGCATGAAAATAAACTTATCAGTAAGTTGGTTTTGACGCAGTGGGGCACTGCTATAAGGATACCCAAAAATGTGGAAGTGACTTTGGAACTGAGTAACAGGCAGAGGCTGGAATTTTGGAGGACTTATAAGAAGGAAGAATGTAGCAAAGTTTTGGACTTCCTGGAGACTTGTTGAATCGCTTTGACCAAAAAGCTGGTAGTGATGGACAATGAAGTCCAGGCTGAGATGAATCTCAGGTGGAGGTGAGGAACTTGTTGGGAACTGGAATAAAGGTGACCCATGCTATGCTTTAGCAAAGAGACTAGTGGCATTTTGCTCTATCCTAGAGATCTGTGGAAGGTTGAACTTGAGAGATAATTTATGGTATATGGCAAAAGAAATTAAGCAGCAAAACATCCAAAGTTGACAGAGCATAAAAGTTTAGACAATTCACAGCAATGATGTGGTAGAAAAGACCCATTTTCTCAGGAAAGTGAAGCTGGCTGTAGAAGTAGAGAGCAAATGTTCATCACCAAGACAATGGGGAAAATGCCTTCAGGGCATGTTAGAGACCTTTGTGGCATCCCCTCCTATCACAGGCCTGGAGGCCTAGAAGACAAAAAAATTTCATTGGCTGGGCCCAGAAACCTTGCTGTGGTCTCAGGACTTGGTTCCCTGGATTCCGATCCTCCAGCCAAGGCTAAAG